GCACACGATTAATCAATTTAATGAATTAAATCCAAATTGATTCATTTAGACGTGTAATTAGTTGATTAATTGACTACTTGGCAGAAAATTAATGTGCAATAAATTCAACTTTCTATTTGTCATTTGGAATAATTTCTTGGGTCCAGCTTCTTAATTATGACGTTTAACGGTTTTGTTTTTTATCCTCAGATGAAGCAAGACTGGTAATATGGCATCTTTTACAGTTCAAGCAATTAAGAAAATAGAAGGCGAGCAGCACTCTCTCTAAAAACAAACCAAAAAAAAAGTAAGCTGTGATGAATGTTTGTAAAGGACAGAAAGAGCCAAAACTACAGCAATAGGTCCTTCATCTTGTCCTCTATTATTTGTCTTTCAAAGATAATGAACAGCATATCTGGAGAAAGGACAGGCATGAGATTACCCTCTTGACTCATTTCAGCTAAGCCAAATCAGGAAGCACCAGTTTTTTTTTAGTTATTTCATCACTGACTTCTTCATTTTCTGCTGGCTGCATTAACACTGACAAACACCAGTATGTAACAGCCAATGCATACACACACATGTCATCCCCGACATGAAAACAAGACTACACGTGGAGGTCAGATGGTCAACGCTGCTCCCAGAAATAGCCCAACACACTCCACGCACCGCAAACTGTAATGATATTAGTCAAATCCTCCACCAAATCCCGTATTTACAGGGCTAAACCTTTCTGCACAACGCCGTGATAAAGCTGGATGCATTCGGCCAGCATCTCAACATAACACGGGCTGACACCTTGTTGCTTCTTGGAAAGCTAGCAGCTAACATTTAGGATGGAAAAGCCCGGCTTATGCTGCGAATAAACTGAGCTACGAAGCCTTTTCCTCTCCCTGTCATCAGCAGCTAGCTTCGGTCGCTGTTATGACAACACGAGTCGACCTGAAACAAACCTAAACTTACAGCTAGCAAACGGCGCCTAGCTACCTCCGAGCTAACGCACAGCCCCGCGACAAGAGCCCGGTAAAGTCACACAAGTAAAGCCAACACGGCTGCTTACTCACTGGTCCGTTAAGGAGATGATAACCGGGCAGTGAAACTCTGAACACACCCGACGGCAGCTCGCAGCGTTTTTAAAGCAAACTCACGGCGACCACAGCCGAGCCCCGCCGCTGCGCACTATCGCGTCCTGCCTACTTCCCTGTTGAGGTGACAAAGCAGAATTGAGAGATTTTATTGGTTTGGGAGAAACTCACCAGCGCTCGGTCGAGATCCCATCACTGTCGGAGTCTGTGGCGTCACCGGATGATGGGCGGGGCTTAACTTTTACTACAAACAAAAACACATACAGGCCTTTAACCATCACTTCAGAGGACATCACATTCACTTACATTCATTTCCTGAAGACTTCACCCAACCATAACCACAACTACTTACTTGCCTAATCTGGAATTACACGAACATCTGGAGTTTATCTTAATTTAATTTAATCTACTCACTGTAACATTTAAAGAATCTGGAACTGTACACATTTGATCATACTTCCCTATGCACCCCGTATGTATTTGCTGAAACCTACATATGTTTACATACAACTGCACTTTGTATGTAATTTTTTTTTTTTTTGCACTTGTGTAAGTTTTTTGTACATGTTCAGCAGTGTGCAGCATCAGTTACATTGCCGTTTATATAGTTATCTAAAAGAATAAACAATCCCTCAGTTTTCATAGATGTACACATGATTTTTCTGCTACGTTTTTATATTTTACATTTGCACATCTCCTACAATACTTTAAAAACGTTGTCTGATTTCGTTAACGCACTGAAACGACTGCTGCTTCATTTTGTTGTACACTGTGCACATGATGATAAGGGAATTCTTTTCTAATCTGCATCTCCACTCAAAACTTGGCAACTGTCCCCACAATGTAACTGTATTTGTAGTGGCTATTTGTCAGAATCAACTGAAACAAAGAGCCACTGATGCATCATGGTGATGTGGTACACGCAGACAAAAAGAGTCTTTTGTCCCATCGAAATCTACACGTTTCGTGTTGGTTTATTTATCTAATGCAAGCATGCAAACAAAAGACCAAAGAATCACGGCTCCTATTACCTGGCTTGAAGGAAACCGCGGGCCCTCCCTGGTGCATGCTGGTCCTACACCTGCCTCGCTACTTATGCACCATTAAGTGCTCATACAGATACTCTGCACATGCAAGCAAATTCTAATTAAACAACAAAACTAACAAATAATTACAACAGTGACAGCTGACACATTGCTTTTGCTAAGTCAGTGAGGACCCTCATTAACAAAATTAATTCCCTTAACTCTTAACCTAACCTTAACCATCACAACTCAGTGACTAACCCTAATCTACATCTAACCGTAACCTTAAATCAAGTCTTCACCCTCAAATTGAACATCAGAGTTGTGAGAAACAGCCTAAATGTCCTCAGACCCTTTTCCTTACACCCTTCCGGGTCTAAATTTGTCCTCATATGGATAGTAAACACTTGCCACACCTCAGAGGACATTACATAGACTTACATTAATCTGGAGATTTAGCTTAACCATAACCACAACTATTTACTTGCCTAACTTTAATCCTTACCACAATCTCAACCTGGCCATGTCCTTAACTAAATCTACATCCTAAAATAAAACTTAGTTTTATGACATTTTTGTCCCTATAATGTAACTCTATTAACTGATTTATGTCCTCACAACATGAGTAATACAAGAACACACACACACACACACACAGTGCTCATAATGAAAACAGGACAGGGTGGAGTTTGTCTTTATTTTTATTCCACCCCCCCACAACAAAAAAAAAAAAAAAAAGCACCACCTTTAACGGCTGTGTTTGCATATATTCATTTCAAGCCTATTTAAAAGGACAGGTCTGGCAACATTTCAGTTATTATCAACAAATCCCATCAGCAGTGCACTGAGCGGTGTTAAGACCCAAATAAGCCCTTCATGAAAACAGCTCATTTGGCCGCCTGCCTGCTGAGGGTGTGTTGCTTTAGATACTGGTGACACATGAAATACAAACCAAAAAGTCCAGTTTGACCTTTGAGTTTTCAGATTTAAGGTGCAGATATATGTAAAACTGCTGAGTTAATTCTGAATAGGCAATAATTTGAGCATGATGACTGGCTGAATGTGGTTGGATTTGATGTGCTCCATGCTCCTCTGGTGATGCACAGATTCTAATCTTAAATCCCCAGATCCAGTCATGACCAGTGATTTCTGAGAAAGACTTTCGAGACTTGTGACTGACATCACTTGAGTGCAAAGGGAGCCTTTTAGTAAATAAACTGCTGTGACTAACATTCACTTACATCATTAATTAATAATTATAATAATAAATAATTAATAATTACAACATTATTGAATTTCCCTTCTGGGATGAATAAAGTATTTTTCATTTCATTTCATTTCATTTCATCACCACTGTCATGCATGACATTATGACACAAAAAGTGGCATAAAATTGATCCAAAGTGTTCATTCATGAAAAAAAAGAAGAAAAAAAAACCACACTAATAACATGTAGAAAATAATATCAATTAAAAAATAACTAGAGAAATACTTTAAGTCCTAAGAATTTTTGTTTGTAACAAGCATTTTCATTTCAAATGTTTATTTAATTATATATTGGCATTTTTCAACTAACATTTCTATTTAATGCCACTTTTTATTCCGTAACAATATGACCTAATTTTCTGTCTCCTGCATTTCTAGGACCACTGCTTTCTGCAACAGCGCCACCTACTGAATTGAAAAACACATTTTGAAGCAGGAACCACTTCCTGGCCATGAAGGGCGCTTATCAGAGCCTCTGTGCTGAATGAGAATCACGTTTTAAACAGTTCTGATGTCTTCATTTGAACAGCAAAATCACTGTCAGCTTGTCAACAGTATAACTATTAGAGTCTACAGACACTCTAAAGAAACTTTTAAAACCAAAAGTCATTAGTTAGAATGCACCATTAAAATGATCTGAATCAATTGTGTTAACATTACATTTCATTTTTAGCTATACTGTTGTGGTGCCTTTCAGCCATTGACATGTGTGTAGCTCATATCACCATGTGGTAAGTGTCAGAAATACACATTTTTCCCCCACTTGGCTGCTCATAAATATGTTTTAAACCATATGACAGCAGCATCAGCAGCATTGTATTATTTCAAATGTTCCTCGGGATATATAAAATAAAAAATACAAAACAAACTCCAGTGCCCATGTTCATAATAATAAAACCACAAAGCTGTTATTTGAAAACCCTTTGCGTCTCCTCAAGGAACCACTGAACACATACGGCTCCTCCACAGTGGAAATGATGAGGAACCAAGAAGTTCCTCAATGCTTTTAATAAACCCAGCTGATTATGTAATATACATGTTGAAATATTGCAGTGTACACAATCACCAGGAGCCCTTCTCAGTCATTAGAGGTTCCTCCAGCAAACCTTGTTTCTGAATTGATACCTTTAATTTAACAGTCACACGCCCACATGAGGAAATAAAAACTGTAAAGCTTTCTCTTGTTCATACTGGCAGTAAAGTGATCACCACCTTGTGCAAGATGAGATAAGGCCAAAATCCACAATCATCGCTGCGTGCAAAACGCCTTTTAAACTGTTTCCTTTGGGATTAATAAAGTTTTATCTTATCATTTATGTTAAAGTTCAGCTGAAGCTAATGTGAGGTTTCAGGAGTCAGAATCTATCAAAGCAGGATGGTAGTTTCCAAACAGTCCCATAATTCCCTTTTTTTGTTTGAAATACTGTCTGTTCTGCATGAAAGAGCAGAGACACAAGGAGACAGATTTTTGCAGTAAAAAGCCTGTAACTTTGCTAACTATCCTCTGGGTTTGTTTAAATCCATTAAGAGGCGTTTCTGCATCACAGAACATGTGAGAACTGTATTAAGATAGCCTTGAAAAGGCCTTTACTCAAAGAAAAGTCCACACAAACACACACACACACACACACACACAAATCCACGACTAGTCACTGATGAAGACCCAGTTCTGACTGACTCTGGTGGATGAGCAGGTCGCCATGGCCACGTTTCTTCCTGCCACTGTCAAACACTTGCCTGATGAAGGATTCTTCAGGTACTTTTTCTGCAAACAACATCATGTTTAAGAGGGTTCCGTTTAGATTTAGAGATAGAGTAACAAAAATGAGGAAAAGGAAATCTCACTACTTCCTTCTCCAACTATAATGACGGTGTTGTAACATGAGCTGCTGAGAAGTTAGAGATGATGTAGAAAGAAGAGTTGTACCTGTGTGAAGATCCACACTTGTTCTGGTGCTGCTTTTCCCTTCAGTCGACACTGTTTAAGAGACACCTGAGGTTCTCCAGGGGTCGCATGTAAACACAACTTTAAGTGGGCGATGAGTCGGATCTCTTGCCAGGATGTGTACTCGAAATACTAAAAATCACACAAGCACTATATTTAATTTGTATAATCTCATTTCAAAACTGTACTGCAGTGTAAAAAAAAAAAAAAAGTTTTTAAAACTAACATTAAGCATATAATAATAATAACAATAATAACCATTATAACAATAATAATAATAATAATAATAATAATAATAATAATAATAATAATCCATCCATCCATGGCTGGAGTCTATCCCAGCTGACTTAGGGTGAAGGCAGGGGACACCAGTCACCAGTCTATCACAGGGCTAAACTAAGTGACAGACAGCAAAGCACATAATAATGATAACTACAATTACAATTATAATAATTATAAATATATATACAAATTTACATTCACACACTATAAATGGAACAAATTACTAGTCATGGAAATTGTGCACAGTTTTTGTCTGTATTTTTTAAAGTCAACAGTTTTTTTTATTTTTTTTATTTTTCTATTTATTATCTGTAATTTCATCTGTAATTGAATAAAACAGGGAAAATCTGTGAAATATTATTCTTTTTTTTGCCATTTTACAGGACTCAATATACATTTTTTCTTTTAAATAATAGCTAATATCTGTAAAATGGCAATATTTCTTGCTGATTTGAATACAGTAAATATAATGTCATTTTGTGAAAGAAAGAATTACCTTTTGTAACGATCCTGATTTTTGAAATGAACATTAGCTACGGTTTTGGCCTGTTTTCTTACAAGCACACCTTTTATTTTTTGGTTATTTTATTATTTATTTTCTGACCACTGATTACAGTTCATGAACTCAGTGTGGAAATTGCACAATACAATAAAAGGACTTTTTTTTAAATTCCCTCTCTTCACGTTGTAACAAAAGAACTTAATGTCCGGTGAACCCTCAGATTTTTCTGACCCCCAGGTTAAGAAACAGTGATTCAGCATCTAACGTACCTGTCCTTTACCGCTTATGTTACATCTGAACTTGGAAGCCGGCTGCCTTTTCCTCATCTCCACATCCAGGCGGCACTTTAAGCCAATGTTTTCTAACTGCAGAAAATAATGTACAGCAAATGTAAAGTTTTTGTGGCGTTTTTCAAATAATATCTATTTTTTTTAAAGGTGCCTTTCACAGAACTCAAGGTCACCAAACACTGAGTTAAAACAAGATAAAACATCACGCAAGAGGTAAGAACAGAAATCTAAACTGAAGTAAAGGCACAGTTTCATTGGGCTAGCACTGGTAGGTGAGCTGAAAGAGGTGGGTTTGTAGTCTTTTTTTGAATTCAGGGATAGAGTCCAGGTTCTGCAAGTGAGGTGGCAGGGCGTTCCAGAGCCGGGGAGCAGAGCGGTTGACTGCCCTGCTCCCCAGGGTGATGAGACGGGCAGGAGGGACTGTTAGATGACGGAGGAGGCAGATCTGAGGGATGGGGTGACGATGTGGATGAGGGTCAAACAGGTATGGGGGGGCAAGGTTGTGGATGGCCTTCTGTATATCTGGCTAATGAAACTTTTGCATCAAGTTTTAAATGAAATAAGAGAATACGGGATGTAGTGTAGAAACCACAAATAATCCTATTTTTGTGAGTTCATTTACTTGCACTCCAGTCATATATTAAAAAATGAAATAAACTAATAAGTTAAACCGAGCAATTTTCTTATTTATAAAGCAAATACAATTCAGAGTGGATACATGAATCAATCATTAATCTGTCATGTTTATAGCGTTCTTGTGTTCTGCATCACTGGAACTCCTTTTTACAAAATCACTCAAAAATTACTACACAGTTGCCTGTTTTACAAAGTGTAGAGAGATGATCAAATTTTGAAACATGAAGGAGCTGGACTGTAGATGTTTTCTGACTTGGATGACTGAGAATCTTCACAGGCGTATGATCAAATGTTAGTAAAGAAGTTTACCTGTCCGGACATGGCAGGCCTGATGTCAGGGACATAGGCTTCTGGGTAGATATTTTTCAGGTACCAAGAGAAGCTCTTGCACTTTAATCGCTTCCTGAGTTCACGACGTTCTGCCACATCTCCAAATGAATTCTGAGAAGAAAACAACGCAAGAAAAGCGACACGTTGAGGCAGTTTCTGCATTTCGACATCATACATCTGATGTGATTAACTTCTAGCGTTGTGAAGATGCTGCACATTTGTACAAACCGCCTTCAAAATGGAGGCCGCTTCTCTGTTTGAACGATAGAAGACAAATCTGTAGTCGTCCATCCAGACCTCGGCCAGGCGCACCAGGTTGCGAGCTATTGTAGCGCTCCTATTGGGGAAAGTGTGGGGGCTATGTTCGCGGTAAATGTGCCCAACAACAGAACAAGGAACAATCTCCAGCTGACCTCCGCATTGCCACACCTGCAGTAGAGAAGACACACAAAGAAAAACTGAAGCTGGGGACACTTTGTAAAGCATTTTAAACAAAAATCTTTTATAAACTCTTACCCTGAAGGACATTTCCAAATTCTCACCTCCCCAGAACTCCATGTGGTCATCATAAGTCCCAATATACTCAAAGTACGATTTAGATACCGAGAACAGGCCACCAGCAAAGGTAGGAGTTCTATAAAATCAGATGCACATCAGTCACAAGCAGTGTTAAACATTCTACCATCCAAGTGCCAAATCAGCGGAACCATGGAAAGTCGGAAAGCCTTCTAGATCTGTGTGTGTATTTACTTGCATCTACCTGATTGGATAAGTCTCATTCTTCCGTCGCTTCTTTTCCCTTTCAGGGATGACCTCCCATGCAAACACCAACGCCCAGTCAAAAACTCCTCGGCTGTAATACCGCGGATTAGGGACTGGTTTAGTGAACTTTAGGGAATCTTTGTCAATGCCAGGGATTCTTGGGCTCACCACAGCGGTAGGTTGCTCAGCTATTCGAGCTAGAAGAGGCTCCAGCCATCCAGGGAAGCATTCACCTACACAGGAATAGAAAGGAGATAATCAGAATATACTGAACGAAAAATTAAACACCACATGTGATATTTCATTAAATTTTATCTATTCTTTTTACGATTGCAGAATCAGTATCTGTTGTTCCAACATGCAGCATCTCTGCAACTGAAAACAAGCAAGTAAGCCGTATATTGGAATGATAAAGGCAGATGAAGAGTGAAGTTGTAGATCAGAAATCACGAGTCAGTAACAAGTGTGTCGACCAGTAGCATCACCAAGTGCCACATATCTGCGAGTTGTTAATGCTGCTTGTGGAATGTTGTCCCACTATTTCTGGAGGCTCAGTGAAGTTGGTGAACATGTTTGGGGATGGGATCGTGTTGTCGGACACATCTAACCAGAGCATGCAACAGATGCTCAGTGAGTGACAAATGGAGAGTATAAAGAGCATGGCAGGTGTGGAATATTTTTCTAGAAGGGTAGTGCAGATTATGTCGACATGAGGACACACGTTCTCTTGTTGGCAGCCAATGAAAAGGATGAGGATTTCATCTCGTCATCGTTTAAATGCCGACGTGTTCTTTCCCAATATGACGCCAAATACATCTGTCGTGTGCTCCGTAGATTCAAGTAGACACAAGATTCATCAGTTAAAAGAATCGTCTTCTATCTTGCTAGTATCCAGTGAACCTGAGGAGTTGCCCA